TTTAATATCATCAATGATTTACATGTGTCAGCCGTTTGCTGTTGCGTTCCCTGGGGGAGTCTGAAAATGGAGCCCAGTACTGCAAATGTTTCATTCTGAGGTCCACAACAAACCAGCTGAGATCAATTGGTTCACAATTCAGCAGCTTTTGTTTGAAACGGTGAGAATGTGTCAAACCATCCATGGCAAACAGGATGTGCGAGGACAGGCAATCATCAGATGAGCTTAATTGTATGTCAGCATGTAAAAACTTTCTCACAAGCTGGTGCAACTGTTGCAACGATTGCAAGAGTTGTACTGGCGCATAGCTGTGCGAAACCAGTTGAACTGAAGGGGCTCCAGAGCACACTCTGGCATAACTGGCCAAGAAGGAGTGGTGTTTCTGATCCCCAGCGTCCTTTTCAACAATGTCAACAGCCATTTCTGGAGGGGATTGTCCATCTCTTTGCCTAGCCTCAAGAATGGAGTGGCCCAAATTTGGCTAGCATACATCTTTTTGGTTACATGTGCCCAAGGACATGGCAATGTCCCTCTGCTGGAGCACTTGCACTACACAGCCGACTGCATCTGCAGCCCGCCACCCAGAAACGCTCACTAAACCTCTGGCTGCACTCCGAAGTTTACACACATACATTGTGCACTGTCTGCTTGCAACACCGACCAATTTGACCCTGATGCCCAGACTTGCCGAGTAAGTGGCTGCACTCTGAAGTTTAAACACATACAGTGTGCACTGACTGCTTGCAAAACCACCCACTTTGACCCTGACGCCCAAACTTGCCGAGTAGGTAGCTGCACTCCAAAGTTTACACACATACGGTGTGCACTGACTGCTGGCATAACCACCCACTTTGACCCTGATGCCCACACTTGCCAAGTGGGCAGCTGCACTCCAGAGTTTAAACACATGTGGTGTGCAGTGTCTGCTTGCAAAGCCACCCACACTGACCCTGAACCTCTAGAGGCTCAGATCTGGCCCAGGCGATACCCTGGCCCCCTGCACCTGGGATACCATACAAGAGCAAACACCACCAGATCTCCTTCCACTTTCCACCTGAACGGAGCCTCCACACTGCATTGATCCTGCTAGGGAGGTCATGGGCAAGGTGGTTGGCTTGGAGAGACGGGTCAGGCTGAGGCAAGAGAGACAGCGTACGTGCCAGCAGGAATAGCATAGGTCTTGAGAAGCCAGATCTTGGCTCGCAGTCTGTTGGCAAGCTCGTGCACATGGACAAAGAGAAAAGAGAAAAGAAGAGGAAAGACGAGAGAGGAAAGCTACGCAAGCGGGGCCAGCCCCCAAGCATCACAGAACAAACAACACTGAATAAAAATTTTAACTAGGAAGGTTCCAGCCATAAATGGGCGCCATGCTGCATCTGCTGCAAAGTTGAAATTAAGGTTTTTGTCGCACACCATTCCCAGGTATTTGAAATGGTCAGTGTTGGAATGGTGCACCATATAAATAAAAGGGAGGTAGATTGACAGTCGTGAAGTTGAAGCACGTGCTTATGTGCACATAACTTGAGGTTTTTGCGTGTTTATGTCAAGGATTTCCGCTGTGCATTAGATATGAGGGATAAGTCATCCGCAAAGAGCACATGGGTCGCAGTGAGTTTGCCTGTGAGTGCGCCCTGGAATCCTTCAGCCACACTGCCAATGTCATCTAGATAAATAGAAAAAAAGTAGGGGGGAAGGGGGCATCCTTGCTTAACACCAAATGTCAGATGCACACTTCCTATCTTGTCTCCATCCATTTATGTATATTCATCCATGTGGTATAAGTCCTGCAAGATGGACACATATTGTTTTGGGGCATCTGGTAGCGATGCAATTGGCTCCGCAACTTTTGTCTGGGATGAAGTCATATGCTTGCGTGAAGCCAATGAACACAGTGAACATCCATGAAGAACGTTTCTGCACCCTTCGGGCTGCATGCTTTAGGTGGCGTTGAATGAGTAATGGTGGGGTGTATTTGGTCCTGGGTAGAATTCAAACTGGGTGTCAGGGATCTTGTTGATATGGACACACCAGTCTTGTATGACTGGGACCATCTTTCACTTTAAAAATTTTTGTATTTGTTATGCATATGTTACACTAACATCATGCGTATCAAAGAAAATAGGAAAGAAGGAGGTCAAAATCTGACCTTTTTGGCAACCCCCTGTACTGCAATTTCTCTAAGGCCCCGGTCACACCAGACAAATTGGAATCCAAATCGGATCAGCTTTTCCAAGTTTTTGAGAGCAGCTTTTTAGTGCCGGCAGCTTCCTGGGAGGTAAAAGAAGCCCAACTGTCCAATCCATTTGCCAGAAGTCCAACTCAGCGGGCTGCAAATCCAATTTCAAGAGCCAAACTTTGGATCCAACTTGGATTTGGACTTGGAGGTCGGTCACACTGGGGAATTTGCCCAAATCCAAATTGGTCTGCTAGAAGCATGCTTTTCCACCTCTTCGACAGGGGCAACAGCTCCAATTGGAGAACCACGGGTCCTGCTTTGGTTTATCTCCTTTCTGTCTATTGGGCATTATCGATGTAGATTATTACGTATGAAATGAATTAAAATGGGTTTATTGTCAAGACAATTTTTTTTTTCCGAACACATTCTCTATTTTCTATAACTTGCAGGGATCCCTCCGCGCCTCCTGTGCCAGTCTTTGAGGAAGGGCATACCCAACTTGGAGACCCGATAGGCCCCCCCCCCCCCCCAATTGGAGACCCAATAGGCCCCCCCACCCCCCCCCAAATCTCNCCCCAAATCTCAAATTGGGTTCCAAATTTGGTCTCAAATTTTGACCCCAACTTGGAACCCAATTTGGAGCGGTCAGACACAACCAAATCGGCATCCTCCCAATTTGAACCCCAATTTGGGTTCCAACACACTTTGCCTAGTGTGACCGGGGCCTAAGGGAAATGGCTGAAATTCTGTGTCTCACCAACCACTGGGTCTTTTTACCCCATTTTTGTTGCAATGGTATTCTTTTGGTACACGGACTCCAATTCACTAAATACTATTCAATTTGGTACAGTGAGTAGTCAGTAATGAAGATTTGGTGATGAAAATCAGGGTTCATGCCGTGGCTGATTAGGCATACGGGGCCAAGGCTGTCCCCAGCTTGGCCCCACCTGCAATGATCATTTTAAAAACACCGTGTGACATTTTTATGGGGGGTAATTGTCTTTAAAAGAATGGGTTGGTACAAGCTGCGTGTCCGAAGCATTTAGATTTATTTTGACCTGGTAATTAGGCTGCGCAGCTATGCTGGGCGCTGCCACCCCAAATGAAGGACAAGTTCACATCAAGTTACAAGGAGAAGAAGGCTGTCAGGCTGAGAAACTGACGCAGCCAAAACAATGTCCTAGTTTGCCATGCCACAACCAACTTGCAGCAGATTCTCGTTGCAGCACACTCTGGGTGTGACAAGGCCTTCAGTCAAACCGACTGACTGTTAGCCTAGCCTAAATTACCCTCGAAGCTTACCAGTTTGGATCGAAGGGCAGACCACCAGATCTACTAGATCCCAACATGGGCCACCTCAGGAGGACAAAGCGCACCCTTCGAAATGTTGCCAAATTTTACATCCCGCTGGGTTCTCATTTGTTTGGATGTTCTTACCTCGCCTAGAGCAGAGAAACAGGAAAGAAAACCTATGCAGGCAAAGAAACTCTCCCTACACCGCGCCTGGACCAGGGGTCCCCGAAAAAACTGGGGATCGAGGATTCTGGTTTGTCCAGCAGTTGTGCCTCTTTGGGGAGCCTTTGGAGGCGGAGGTAGTCCCAGGGTTCAAGCCTGGGTGGGCAGACCTTTGGGGGTTCATACGTTGATCGCAACAGGGTTGTTCCTTGTGTGATGCTTGGGGGCTGGTCATGCTTGCGTAGCTTTTCCCTTTTTCCTTTTCCCTACACCAATTATGTAAAAGGAGACACATTGGCTCTAAAAAGAGCCGTAAGCCCCCTCCACCACAAAGTATGAAAAAGAGATAGCTAATGCGGATCTGGAGGGTTGCTAGAAGCACTTGGCTCTAGAACCTGGCTGAGAAAAGTATTCTTGTTTTCAATAGCGCGGCGTGTGGTGACTAGTTCATGGGCATATACATATTGAACAGAATGGGCATGAAGTTGTTGAGCAAGCTTCGTGGTACGCTGGTGATCCAATCCTAGTTGTTTGAATTGCTTCAGGGTATACTCAGTGTAAATAGTTGCTCCTACACACAGGAGAATAGGGTGAATTGTAACAGCTTTAGTGTTACTAAGTTTACAAAGGTCTGCATGCTGCTGCTTTGCTGCGTTCAACTGATGCATCGCAGCATATGCTCTGGCCTTGTGTCTTCACAGAACTTGATTTCTATGAGGTGAACATAATGTTCATTTGCATTAAGTTCATGGGGTTGCCTCATGCGGCTAATTCTGGTGGTCTTCCGTGGGGAGCTGCGCAAAGCATGATGGGAATGGGTAGGAGAAACACCGTTTGAAGTATGATTGGCATTAAAAGGTGTGATCAAATCAGCATTTGGTCGACTGGAGTTGAGTCTTTTCCTCTCTGGAAGGTTACGAGGGAAGAAGTAAGCAGGTAAAGTTCTAATTGAGGCATGTGTAGGGAGTTGGAGGTTGTGTTGAGCTTAAAATCGCTCCCTATGTCTGTGTATGTTAGGCCTGCCCCTACAGGGCATTTGCTGAGGGCTTTTGTAATCATTCTGCCTGCAATATGTTGAGGTTTAAGGGAAGGCTGGCCGACCACTTGGCCACGCTAGCGCTATGTGCTTCCCTGCACGGCCTTTTAGCTAGCACTAGTGCACCTTGTTCTTCCTCTGTCTCCACGCGCTGCTCTTCTCTGCTCTGTTGCTCCTGCTGCTGCTGCTCTGCTCTGCCGTTTTTGTTTCAGCTGGTGGCCCCAGCTCTGCTCTGCCGTTTCGTTTCAGCTGGTGCCCCTAGCTCTGCTCTGCCATTTTGTTTCAGATGGTGCCCCCAGCTCAGCTGCATGTCCTCCTGCTCCAAGCTTACTCTGCATCCGCCGGGACTCGAACCTGCGTCTCCTCCACCTGGGCTCACATATCGTAGAGGTTTAAAGGAGGCTGCCCGACCACTTGGCCACGCTAGCGCTGGCGGGGCGGAGTGGTCGGCCAGCCTTCCCTTATATCTCAGCAAAATGTCATCAACCCACACTGCCATGTATGTGCTTCCTGCTGCTGTGAGTTTGTAATACAGGCCAGGGTCTGCAAGTGATGCTGTCAGGCCTAGCTGTTGCAGCACAGCATTTAGCTTTGCATGCCATGTTCTGGGTGCCTGCTTCAGGCCATACAGTGCTTTGTTCAGATGACAACTGAGCTCATTGCCAATGTTATGGCGTTTACTTTTCATCTTGGAGATGATATGGTTTTGGCAGCCTGAGAGCATGTGTCGTGAGCTGCCCAATTGATGGCAGCCTGGGAGGGGGCAAGATGGATCAGTTGACCTTTTAAAACATACTGCACGTTTTTGGTTGCAGAGGGTGCCTGTGCGGTATGGCAGGATGGTACGCTTCATGGGTACAGAAATGTTGGGCACATTTCTGAAGGCATCTCTGATTTTTTTTGTCTACTTACGGTAATAAGTTTTAATAGTAAGAGTAGTAACCTGTTTGGGCATTGGCATATCCAAGCTTGTGTTTAGAATGCATGTGGGATTTGAGAGCATCTTGAAGATTGGGCAGATAGGTGAGCTTGTGGGCGGGTGGTGGACCCGTGGATAGAGCATTAAAAAGCACATTACTCAGGCACAATGTAGGAAGAAAAGAAGAATGGCAGAGGACATCCTCCCTGTATCACTTTAGAAAGAGGAGACGTGTGTTGGCTCAAAATAGCCAATTTCAGGTCTTCAACCCCCCTCCACCACAAATTAAAAGAACGAAAAGGGGAAGCAGGCATCTGTAGAAGCACTAGTGGCACTCAGCTCCACATATGCTCTGTGGAAATCATCCTTTTTTCAAAGGAGGACCTAGTGAAAATGTAACAGTCATACAAGGCTTACGATAGCTTATTACATCCCGGGCTCTGCCTTTTCACAAGTGTTACAGGCAACATGTTTGTAGGTGGAATGTACAGGATGGGCAAGGTGCCTGCTGCTCTAGAGCAAGTGGTATTGAAAAAAAGAGAAAGAGGAAAAGAAAAACAACACAGGCAATGAAAACAATCCCCACATCAATTAAGGAAAAGAGGATACCTAAGGCCCAGGTACCGTATATCCCCTTCACCAAGAGAAAATGAGGAAAGAGGTCAGTAAGGATCAGGAGGGTTACAAGCAGTAGCCCGTCCCTGACCTTTTGATCATCACCTATTGATAAGCATATCAATCTTAAGAGTTAAATTAAGTCTTCTCCAGAGCTCGTCTGATACTCGCAAGTTTGTTTTACAACATATTGGACAGAATGGAACGATATCAATTTTTTCGATGGCGGTTCGCAATCTCAACGGTCCGGTTAGAGTCCGGGACAGAAAAATAACGAAAAACAGCAAAACTGCATAATATTCAAATGAAATGGTCCGCATGAAAGACAGGCGATGTGGTGTGCTCGTGTTCCATCATTTTCACCTGTCTCTCATGTCAACGGCTTTTGTTTAACTTGCTAGTGCGACTTTGCAATTTTTCTTTTTTTCGTCCCGGACTACCCTCAACCGGACATCAAGGGACTGCGAGTCACCATAAATTTATGGTGTAATATGTGTATATTACATATATAGGGTTGTGTGTGTGTGTGTGTGTGTGTGTGTGTGTGTGTGTCCTATTCTCATCACATCAATTGAGGGCACACCTGCTGCGCCCTCGATAAAATCCTTGGAATCACCTTGGCGTTGCAAGGGATTCAGAAATATTTTTTAAACGCTTTTTACCCCTTACTTTAAGCGCAAAATGTTGGCCAACTCGCGCTTAGTCAAGATATCGGTCAGCTCCTGGGGGCGGGATATTTCAAATATTCCCAAGTATAGTACTAAGCCTGATAAATTTGCACGCCGCTTAAGCATTAAAGCTGCGAAAATTTCTTGCAAGCTCTTTATATCGCGTCGAAACGCTTGCGCCCAACAGAAATTTCAAGATTTTATTCTTTACATAATGGGAAGGCCGCTGTCGCTCGTGTCTTACAATGCGCACACGAACAAGTTCGAGGTGGGCCAAGAGGCACTCGAGGTGCTTCGCAGCGTGAAGTCGCCCCTGGGCGTGGTTGCAGTGTGCGGAAGAGCGCGCCAGGGCAAGAGCTACATCCTGAACCAGCTCGTGTCCGCTGGAGGGGGGCAGGGTTTCACCATCGGCCCCACCCATCGGCCTTGCACCAAAGGGCTGTGGATGTGGAGCGACCCATTGCGCCACGAAAACGGCGCAGAGTCATATAACACGGTGAAGAACGGGTGATGGCGTTTAGTCTACACGGAAACGGGGAGAGACAGCTCGCTTGCGAGGGAAGCTGAAAAGTCTCGGGGCTGCAGTGCTCAAGTTTCCCCCTCCTCCCGCCTGCAGGTGCTCCTGGACACTGAGGGTATTGATGCATATGACCAGGTGAGGAAGGAAGGGCGGGATTGTTGCTGTAGGTTGTCCCTGTGGGTGCTCATCCAAGCTGGTTGCAAGCACAGCGCATGCAACCCTCACCAGGGACATGGGCAGTCTTTCATTCATGGCTCAGCAGTGTATTTCATTGCTCGTGAGAAAAACACAATTGCGCTTCTGCGCCTCAAACGCCTGGAGGTGGAAGCTGCCCAATGCCTCTACACACTCTTGAGTAACAACGCTGCTTTGACCATCCACACTACCCCTGCAGACAGCGCAATACAGCACGCAAATCTTCTCCCTGGCCGTGCTGCTGTCTTGCCTCTTTGTTTACAACCACATGGGAGGCATTGATGAGTCCGCCCTGGATCGTCTGTCCCTGGTTACTGAGATGACCAAGCATGTTCGAGTCCGGGCTGGCCAAGCCAAGGAAGGTGTGCAGTTTGATGTTTACAGTCCAAACTGTGCAGCAGGAATGTTGGAGATGCTTTGAGTCTTTCCATTCTGGGAGGCAAGGCAAGGGCCAGGTAGGGTAGGATGGGCAACAGCTGGGTCAACTTATGAAACATTGAGCACAAGCCCCGAAGGCTGGGAACCCTAGGTTAGGGCACTCAGCAACTGCATGCACAGGCAAAGTAACATGTACATGCTGGAATGTGCTTCCTATGCAAGCAATCTGTTAAGGAGCACTGGCATTCGAACGAAGCTTGCTGGTGCCCTCCCTTCATCTGCAGGTGACCTGGACTCCCTGAGTGAGTTTGCCCCCTCCTTCTTGTGGCTGTTGCGGGACTTTTACTTGAAGCTAGAGGAGGATGGCAGGAAGGTGAGAGGCCTGTGCCCAGCTTGCACGCATCCCCAGGTTTAGCATTTTGCCGCACTCTCACCACCAAGGAAATGGGCAAAGGGGCTGTGTTTGTGGCAAGTGTGCCGAACATTCAGAGCAGCAGGCCTGACACGCCAAGCAAGCTTCCAGCGTGGCCTGATGCATCAAGCAAACTCCCAGAATGGAGTGAGAGCAACGCAGCTCAGGCATCAGAGTGTCACAGCGTGGGCATGGCAAGGGTGAAATGAAAAGGCATGGAATGAGAAGATGAATGTGGCAAGAGCATTGAGGTGTGTTGACACGAAGGAAAGCTGTCAGAGCTTAGTGACAGCTGTCTTGTTGGAGCGACTTTTCTGGAATGCAACGATGCTTGAGCGCCCAGTGTTCCACCAACAGTCCTCCTATACAGACTCTTGTTGTTCGGGGCAGCAGTCAGTCAGTAAGCTGTCTCTTGACTTGCCAGCAAGCCTGTGTGGTGGAGAAAAGGGAAGTAAGGGAAGCGCACATGTGTGTGCTGTGAAGTTTGATGCTTTTCAGGATTTTAAATGGAATTCGTGGAGGCAAGGCCAGGGTACAAACCTCTCCAGACCTGCTTCTGGCTGTGCTCTTCAGGCCAGAGTGAGCAGGGGAGGGGGTAAAGACGGTTGTCCCATCCAATCTCATGGATTTGTCTGCCTCACCTTCAACACAGCACAGCGTGCCTGAGCTTTCCTGATTTGAATACTATGATGGGCTCACATTCACTTCCAAGCCGTGACTATCTCCTTGAAAAGTGGCCCTCCTTGTCATGGATACCCAGAGCGTGTATGCACGTATCGCTGCAGCAACGTATGGAGCTTCCTTTCCCTCTTATTTCAGCACTTTCCATTGCCTAAGCATGGAAAGTGACAGCAAGCTAAATCCAAATAGCTTGCTGTCATCATCTGCAGGGAGACAGAAACAGGATTTGCCGAAGCAAGGCATTCCTAGTCACCAAGGCTAAGACCCACTTGGTATGCGATTGCTTTTGGAGGGGCAAAAGGGTTCAAAAAGAAAGCCTTGAGGCAGGAGGAAAAAAAAAGGACCAATGGAAGGCACGTGGAAATACTGGGTTGGATCCCCCTCACACACACCAGCCCTGAAACCCCACTCCAAGTGGCCCCATCCAGATGAAAAAGTGTCAATCTCCTCATCTTCAATTTCCATTTGCATGTTCACCCCACTGAAAGTGTGGGTTGTGCCAGAGCTACGGGGCAAAAGAGCAGCAGGTGCCCATGCACACCTGCATTGCTTGGCACCCATGCCTGGCTTGCAAGTCCACAAACTGCCCTCCTCACATCACCAGACAAAGGACTCAGCCGTTTGTCACTAACCTGGACCATTGGAATAAATTGCAACATGTTTCCACAATCCCACCAGCCTACTCCCATGCGCATGTGGCACTGACTATGAGTCATGCATTCAGACCCTCCTTTCATCCAAGTTGCAACAATGGGTGCAAATCGACAGTTCTGAAGCTCAGGGATCCAAGGACGTATTAAGAATTATTTAAGTGGCTCAGAAAAACCTCCCTAACCACCTAAACCCCTCTGATTGGACGCACATGTACCCATAAGATTACTGTTGAGCTCAGGATTTCACATACACAGTTCTTGAGGGGATAAGAACAGGCCGTCCAAGGGTTAAGGTTATGGATGCCTCTTCCTGGAGGTCTAAAGAAGAGTCACGGGATAAAGGTAAGGCCTGGACACCTGGCAGGAGGTAAACATTCAATGCCTGAT